TTTTTTTTTTTTTTTTTTTTTTTTTTTTTTTTTTTTATGAAATATATAACTATATATTAGTTTTATCATAAAAATCTATTGTTTCGTGCTTTTTCTTGGAACATAAAGATGCTTTAGGACACCATTCTAAATTAGAAAAAAATTCAAAAACAAAATAAAATATATTACAATAACATATTTATTTTATTTTTTTTATATAACTTCAAAAAAAAAAAAAAAATAAAAGCATATATAAAGTTTAATTATACATTCTATATACATTTTATGATTTTTGATAATAATTACCCTTGGTATTCTCATACAATCTTTCTATTTCTTCAATGTCATATAACAGTGAACTTTTTGATTTTTTTAACATTTCATATTCTTGGCTCCATTTCTTACCTCTTAAAATCTAACAAAATAATTTTTTTTTTTTTTTGAAGTATTTTACAAAAACATAAAGAAAATAAATTATTATTTTATACTAATAATATTACTATATTTCTGAATTTGCAATTTCCTTTACTAGCTATCAATCCGACAGATCCCTATAAAAATCATTATACAAATTCATACAAGGATAATAAGTAAAATTATAGAAATATTGTATTATAAAAATCAAATAACACAAGGAATTATATATGCACATAAAAAATTTTATAATTTTATAATTTTATAAAAAATACAGAAAAACAGTATCATGTAGAAGAAAAATACAAATTATATGGAAAAAAGAAGAAATAATAAATAATAAATATTAACAATAAATATAAAAAAAAAAAAAAAAAAGTTTTTTTTTAATATTAATTGTACTTGTTTATTTTCATTATATTCAGATTCATCTTCACTTTTTCTGAGATAATCAATAGAAAGATCTCCATATATTCCACCTCTAATTTTGATATCTTTAATAATTTCTTGAACAAATAAAATATACCATTCATTATTTTTTATTTTTAATTCTTTAAATTCTATATTAAAATAAGCATAATTACAATAAAACATATTTTATTAGAACAAAAATAATATGTTTAATCGTGTTTTTTTATTTAATTATATATTAAAAGAGAATAAAAAAAAAAAAAAAACTTAACCTTTCAATACTATTAATTCACCATCTTTTACACGTACTAATTTTAGCACTTTATTGTCTATTATCAATGCCCAGTAATTTCTCTCACCGATAACACGAAAAATAAAACCACATGTTTGTGCATTATTTATTTGAACTTCTAGTTGAGCAATAGTTTTCTAAAAAAAAAAAAAAACAAATATATATATATATATATATATAGACAAATTAGAATTTTAACTTTTTTACGTATGATCTCATAATATTACTTTACAAAAAAAATCTTTTTTAATTAAAGATGTTCTAGTTGTCATTCTATATTATTTTTGAACATACAAATATTTATGAAATTATAAAAAAACAGATTTATATATATATATTTTAATATGTTATATAACCTATTGTCTAACCATCCAAAAGGGAAAGGATGATTCTAAAAAATTTCAAAGAAATTGTAAAAATATAGAAAATTAATTAAATAAGTATATATATAAATATTTTTCATAATTTTAATATTATTTCCTACAGGTTCTCTGCAACTATCTTTTCCTACATATTCTATTATAGCATCTTCATTATTAATAGTCCAATTATTAGTTTGTAACCACAAATTATCTTATAAAATATATTTTATAATGATTATATATAAAAAATTAAAAATATATGAACAAAAAAAAAAAAAAAAAAAATTAGTATGATATATTTTTACTTAAATCAATTAATTCATATGATGGTTTCAAAAAATATTCTCGACAGCTTTCATTAAATTTGAAAAAAAAAAAAAAAAAAAAAAAAAAAGATATTAACTTTTTATTTTACTTAATATTACTATGTTCATGTACGATTTTTATATCTTTAATGAAATTACCCTCCTAATAAATATGTAAAAATAAAAATATAAAAATTAATATATAATGAAAGACACAAAAAAAATTATATATAAATATATATAATTTTTTTTATTTACGATAATCTAAATATTTTTTGAAATATTTGGGATTTTCAGATGGATACAATCTAAAAATTAAAAATTATCATTAATTCTTTTTTAAAAATTCTTTAAAAACATAATAATTCTTTATGTTATTAAAACAATGATATCATGTAGATTGAATCATATGTAAATGAAATTAGTATAGAAATATTATATTCATAATTTAATATGAAGATTATATTAAATTCCATTAATATTAGTATACACGAAATTTTTTTTCTTTTATATTATTTTACACATTAGTTAACCATGTAAGAACATTAATTTTGCTTTGCAAAAATCTATTATCGGAATTCTTATAAAATCCTTTAAATGTTTCGCAACTATTAATGTATAGAAAACAAAATATAACTAAAATATTTTTAATCATTTTAATATATTTGTTTTTTATTAATAAGTAAAAGGTAAAAGAGATAATTTTTTTTTTTTTCCGTATACTATATTTAAAAAAAAATTAAGTTCAATAAAAAAAAAAAAAAGTTTCAAAATATTAGTTTTGATACAAGTTTTTATTTGCATATTCTAATATAATTAAAAAAAAATTTATAAAATTTTCGTAAATATTTAGAAAAAAAAAAAAAAAAAAATAAGTGTATTTACACAAAATAATTCAAGATACGCAATTATGCATACTTTAAAAATTATAATAAAAATTGTTTAAAACATATATAGCCACAATCTCATTAACTTAATTGCTTTTGTTTGTATCATTAATAAACTTCATAAAAAAAAAATTATAGTATATAAACGACAACGTTTTAATACTAATTAATTATTAAACTTACCATTCATAAGATAACAAAAAAAAAAAAAAAAAAAAAAAAAAAAAAAGTTGAATAAAAGAAAACATATCTTTTTTTTTTTTTTTTTTTTTGAGAATAAAATTAATTTTCATATAAATGATATATTAATAATAAGTAAATGGTAAGAATAAAATAAAAAGAAAATAAAAAAAATTAAGAAATTAATTCTTCCTTTTTTTTTTTTTCTTTGTCTTTTGGGTTATTAATTTAATTCCGTTGTAGAAATTAATAAAATACTTTTATTATATGAAATAAAATTTCTTATTATCAAAAAAAAAAAAAAAAATCAATATATTTTTTGATTTTTTTTTTTTTTTTACTCAATCATATTATTATTTTAAAAAATAAACATACGACTAATTTTTTTTTTTTTTTAATTTTTTAAAACATTTTTTTCATGTGTCAAATCTTTAACTTTCTCCCATGTAAAAGAATCATCATTTCTACCAAAATGACCATATGCTGATGTTTTTGAAAATATTGGTTGTTTTAATTTTAATTCTTCAATAATAAATCCTGGTCTAAGATCAAAATTCCGTAAAATGATTTGTTCTAAATCATAATCAGTATATCCTGTAGTTACAGTTCCGTAAGAATTAACATTTAATGATATGGGATTTGCTATCCCAATTGAGTAGGATGCTTGAACTAAAACTCTCCTACAGAATTTATTAGCAACTAGCGATTTAGCTATATAACGTAAATAATAAGCTGCTGAACGATCTACTTTTGATGCATCTTTTCCTGAAAATGCACCACCTCCATGTGCACCCCATCCACCATAAGTATCACATATAATTTTTCTTCCTGTTAATCCAGCATCAGCTGCTGGTCCACCAATAACAAACTTTCCAGAAGGATTTAAATAATAAAAAGTGTCTTTATCTAATAATTTTTCAGGTATTACATATTTAACGACATTCTCCATTAAATCTGATTTCAATTGCTCATGTTTTATATTTTCTGAATGCTGTGTAGATATTAAAACTGTATGAACACGTAAGGGTTCCATATGACCACCACAGCTACCTTTATTTTTATATTCAATAGTTATTTGTGTTTTTCCGTCTGGTCCCAAATAAGGTAGAATTCCTAATTTTCTAACTTCTGTTAATCTTTTTCCTAATAATGTAGCATAATGATGTGTTAAAGGCATATAATTTTCAGTTTCATCTGTTGCATAACCAAACATTATTCCCTGATCTCCTGCACCAATTAATTCTGGAGATTTATTTTCATGAACACATTGAGCAATATCAGGTGACTGTTCATCAACAGAAACTTTAATTTTCGCAGTTTTATAATCTAATCCTTTACTTTCATCATCATAACCAATATGTTTTAATACGTCTCTCGCAACTTTATCATAGTCAACTTTAGCTTTAGTTGTTATTTCTCCAAATATAAAAATAAAATTATTTTTAGCACATACTTCACAAGCAACTTTACTATCTGGATCTTCTCTTAAACAATAATCTAAAATTGCATCAGAAATTTGATCACATATTTTATCTGGGTGCCCTTCATTAACTGATTCTGATGTAAACAAAAAGTTTCCTCTTTTAATTTTTAATTGACTCATTTTTTATATATTTGATATTTTACTTTTTATTTTTTTTTTTTAAAAATTGAGATTTAGTTTGTGTAAGAGTTTTAAAAAAAAAAAAAAAAAAAAAAATGAATTATATTTTAAATAATTTAATTAAAAAAAAATTCATGCATATACATAAATAATATTTAGAAACTTCAAAGAAGAGGAATTTTAAATTAAAAATTAAAAAAATTCCACAATTATTTATAGACAAAAAAATATTACTCTTAAAAAAAAAGTAAAACAATATTTTCAATAATGAAATTATTTAAACAAACTAATGTGCGTAAATCATGTAAAATATAAAACATAATATATATATAAATATATATACAAATATATATATATATATATATATAAATATATATATATATATATATATTTTTTTTTTTTTTTATCCTTTTAAGGATTATATTTGCATATTTTTTCTTTCAATTTTTTTTTTATAGTGATATTTTTAATTTATACAGATTATATTTATACAATGAAAAAAAAAAATTATCTTTTTACTGTGAATTTTTTTTAATATGAGATAAAAAAATATATATATAATTATAATGAGATATATACTAATTAAATAAATAAAAAAAAATTTTATTAATATTTTTAGTTTTTTTTTTTCTTAGAATATAAAAATATAAAATATAAAAATATAAAAATTTTCTTTTTTTTTTTTTTTTTTTTTTTTTTTTTTATATCATGCAAATTTTGATATCAATTATTTCATATATTTTTTTTTTTATTATAATAATTGTTTGCGCTTTAATATTTTTTAAATNATTTAAAAAATATTAAAGCGCAAACAATTATTATAATAAAAAAAAAAATATATGAAATAATTGATATCAAAATTTGCATGATATAAAAAAAAAAAAAAAAAAAAAAAAAAAAAATTTTTTTTTTTTTTTTTTTTTTTTTTTTTTTTTTATATCATGCAAATTTTGATATCAATTATTTCATATATTTTTTTTTTTATTATAATAATTGTTTGCGCTTTAATATTTTTTAAATGCTTTAAATTTTTTTATATGAAAAAAATAAATGCATTTTATGTATATAAAGTATTGAATATTTTAATGGAATTTTATTTTTTCTTTTAAATATTTATTTTCTTAAAAAAGATAAAATTAATATTTTAAAATATTAAAATATATAAGGGAAATTTATATTCTTTTTATACACAAAAAATTGTGAAGTTTTTTCTTTTTAGAATAAATAATTAGTTTTCAATGTTTTAAAAAAATATTTTTATTTTTTGCATTTTAAAATTCTTAGAAATTTTCTCTTTTTTTTATTTGTTGCATTTTTATAAATAGAAATACTAAAATAAATCTTAATATATCACTTTGTTTACCATTTCAATAAAATTCTAAAGGAAGAAGCACAATTTTAATCGATGGAAATACTTGCATTTTTTTATAGTTTTGTGATGAATAACAAATGTAAATGTTACATAATACCATTTTTAGGTAGGTCAACCACTAAGACAAAAATAGTAAATAAATATAAAAATTAATTCTTTTCTTTTAATTTATAATTATAGTAAAACTTTTTGGTTTACTAAACTCATCACATGAATGTACAATGAGGACATGAATATTTTACAATATTCTTATGTTAAATTCTAAAAAGATTATTTTCTTTTTAAAAAAAAAAAAGAATAAGAAAAAAATATATTCAAATTCTAATATATTTTTTAATCTTTTATTAAAAAAGACGAAGAATACTTTTTGTTTATGTAATTTTCATAATTTACAATGTTTTATTTTAAGTAAATTGTGTATGATAAAAAAAAAAAAAAAAAAATTTTAATATAGTTTTGAATTAAATGCAGAATAAAAAAAAATGTCATTTGAATAAAAATTTTATAAAATATAACTTCAGAATAAAAAAAAAAATGAAATTCAATTTATCATTTTTTTATTGTTGTTTTTTTCTTTCTATCTCTTCAAATAGTTCTTCACAAAGTGCAATATCTAAAAAAAAAAAAAAAAAGAAAAATTAACAAGAATATAATTTTGCTAAATAAGCATATTTTTAAAAATATATTATTGTATAATTATTGTAAGAATTAAATAAATGTAAAATCTAAAATACAAAATAAATAATACATGGTAAAACTATTAATTTTAAAATATGAAAAATAATAATATTAATTAATTATTTTTTATTTTATTTATTTTTTTTTTTTTACTTGGATATTTAAATTTCTCTGTTTTATAATCTTCATTATTTTTTATCGACTTCATTATAAATTCTAAAGTATGAAAATCAAATGAATTTAACAATTCCTATTAAAAAAAAAATATATATATATATATGAAATTATAAAACTAAGAAATTAGCATTACTATTAAAAAATTAATATTTTAATTCTTACTTCTGTAACTTCTAAATTTAAGTTAACATTTAAAGTGCTCATATTTCTTTTCCATCTTTTAAAACAAAATATAAATATATATATATATATGTATTTTAAATAAATAATGAAAAGTAATATAAATATATTTTAATATATATATATATATATATATATATTTACAAGAATTGCAACAAATTGCTATAAGATATATCATCTTTTGATGCATTTCCTCCAACATATGCATTGCTTAATGGTCTTTTGTTTTTGCAAATTTTTATCATCTATATATAGGTGAATAAAAAAAATATATATATTATTTCATTAATTTATTTAAAAAATAAAAAAAAAAAAAAAAAAAAATAATAAAATATAAATATTTATATTACTTGTCCCGAAAATATTTGAGAATTTTCCACCCAATTTTTATATCTTTCTTTTACTTCATCAGGCACTCCTTCAAACTATTCAACGAAAAAAAAAAAAAAAAAAGATTAAAATAAAAAATAATAAACTTTTTTTAATATAAAAATTTTAGAAAAAAAAAAAAAGAAAAAGCACTAATTTATTAATATATTATTACATTATCATTTGCAGTTGCTTCTTTTGTGTTATTAGTCATTTGGTTCTGAGCATTATTTAAAATACTTGATAAATTCAAATTTGGTATAGAGGATTTATTTGAGTTATTTTTGTTATCATTGATTATATTATTATCATTTTGGTTAACTAAAACATTTAGTGGAGAAATACTGTTAACATTTTTTGTTTTATTACTTTCAGATAATATTTCTTTTTTTTTTTCTATTACATTATCATTTTGTTTTTCCTCTTTAATATTATCTGTATTTTTGTTTTTTTTTGTTTCTTCTTTCTTCTCTACTATTAGGCCTTTTTCTTTTCCATCTTCTGATAGATCATATATATCATCAATGTTACTATCATAAAAAATTAAATTATTATTTAATAAAGTATTTAATGCATTATCTTTATCATTTCGATTTTCTATATTATTTAAATTAATTTCATTAGGAAAATTTTTATTATAATTTTTCTCATTTGTTCTCTCGTTATTTGTACTTTTTAATTTACTATGAAAATTTTCCATGATATTTTCTTTTTTTTCTTTCATGTTTGGATTATTTGAATTAAAATCACTGAAAATATTATTTTTTTTATTTTTATTATTACTACTATCACTACTACTTTCTCTTCTTTCAATACTATCACTCTTGTAGGAGTCAATATCTTTAAATAAACCATTTTCATTATAATGCCTATGATGCTTTTTCTTCTCTTTTTCTTTTTCATTATTTCTTTTTTTTTTATATGAATTTGGTACTGATTTATTTTTATTAGAAAGGTGGAGAAACGAATTATTATTGGATTCACTATTCTCTTTTATTTTATCATTTTTTAAAAAAGTATTATTAATTTCATTAATTTCATTGTTTTCAATTAATAATTTATTATAAAATTTATTACCAGTACTCATTTTACTATTACTGTTATTATTATCCTCTCTTAGTGAATTATTTTGATTAAAATTATTATCTTTATTATTATTTAAATTATCTTTTCTTAAAATCATATGTTTACTATCTTTAACATATGGTAAATAATTTTTATAATAATCTTCAAATTCTTGTTGTAAATTTGTTTTATTACAACAATTATTCCTCATATCATACGGAAGTGGATAGTAATTATGATTAAAATTATTAGGATAGGAAAAAGAATTTTGATTATATGCATCCATATTCATGTGAGCATTGTTGTTTTGATAAAATCTATTATTATTAATATTATTATTTCTGTTATTACTATAATACAAATTTCTTATTTCTCTTAAAAATTCGTGATTTATAGAATCAGGATTTCTATAATTATTTCCATAATTAGGAAAATAAAAATTATCATAAAAAACAAAAAAGAAATTAGATAATTTTGAAAAAATAACAGAGGCTAATGACAATATTAAACTTATTCTAGAAAATGAAGACATACTAATATCATTATTAAGGAAATTAGCGTGGTTAAACTGAATAATTATACTGTTAATAATATTATTGATATGAACGAATAAATAAAAAAATACATAAATAGAATTAGAATTGTAATAAGAATGAATATACGAAGATAAATCAGGTCTTCTATATCCTGTTTCCTCTTCTAATAAAACTAATAATTGCTCAATAACTCTCCAAGGAATGTTAATTTCAACATTTTTATATTCCGAATCGTTTATATCATTTAAACATTTTGGCTCACTTCTTCTCAATGTACTATTTCTTCTATTACTAGTCATTTGAATAGATCTCATATTTCCAGCTACTGAATTGTTAGATGATAAAACAACAGGCTCATTAATAGCTATTCTAGAATTAGTTCTGAATGAATCATTTCTAATTATTTGATTATTTCTTTCTGTGTCGCTCAATGGGATTATATTTGAGTAATTTTTAGAATAACAACAATCATCTTTGCCTCCAGATATACATTCATTAGAATTTTTTATTATATTTGACATTCCTAGCATACCTCTACAATTATGAATATTTTTATTGGAAATATTATTATTAATGCCCATCATATTATTAGTATTCCTTTTTGTTGAATTTAACATATTTTTATTATAATCACTAAATATATTTTTTTTTCTCTCTCTTTTTTGTAATAAATAATCTATTTTATTATCATTTATATTTTCATATATTTCATTAAAATCATCTCTATAACTATAATTTTGTTTTTCATTATACGAACCTTTCAATGCATCACCTATAAATGGATATGAATATTTACTCAAATTATTTTTTTTTTTTAAGATATTATTATTATCGCTTCTTATATTGCTGTTGTAATAATAACTATGTGGATAATAATAATTTTCATCAAATGCATTTCCATTTGGTTTTCTTATTCTTTCATCTTTTTTAAATGGTTCATCATCAGAAGTAAAACTACTATAATCATAATATTTTTTTTTCTTATACTTATTCTTAGTTCTTTTTTTTTTTATTCTTTGTGCATGTTTTTTTCTTTCTTCTTCTTCTTCTTCAGTATCATCACTTTCTGATAAACCTGAATTACTACTATGCGACTCGTTACTTGAGCTACTTTTAGAATCACTAAAATTATAATCTTTATTATCTTCTCTATTTTTATTTTTATAATATTTTTTTTCATCATTTATATTTTTTCTTTTTTTCTTCTTTTTTATTTCTTTTTCTTCTTCCTTTTTATCTTTTTCTTTGTATTCCCTACCTTCATTTTTGTTATATCCTTCTTTTTCTATTTGATTATTTATCATTTTTTTTTTATCTCTATTTTTTCCTTCTTCTTCTTCGTTTTCAATTATTTTTCCTTTTCCTTTTTTTTCTCTATCCTTTTTTTGATCTATTTCTAAATTAGTATTATCGTCATTTTTTTTAACGCTGTTTGAGTTTTTAATTTTTTGTTTCTTCTCTTCATCTTTTTTTATATTTGTTTCTTTGTTACTGTTATCTTCTTCATTTTTTTTATTTTCTTTTCTATTATTACTATAATCATTCATATTTTGATTCATGCTATTTGTAAATATATTATCGCTAGTTGCTGCTGCTGCGCCATATATAAAACTGGGATTTATATTTACTTGACTCATAATATCGTTTAATAAAGAATATATATTATTCTGACCCATCAAATCGTTTTCTAAATTATCATTTCTAGTTAATCTCATATGAGTAAAATAAAAAGGAGAAGCATTATTAGTTGTATTGGTACTACTACTGTTATTTTGATTCATATGAGAAGCAAAGTTAATATTTAGAGGATCATTTATTATATTTTCATTAATTCTATTTGGGTTAGTATTAATATTATCATTTTTATTGTCACCATCATTGTTTGCATTTTCTCTTTTTCTAACAACTAGATGAATTATATGATCATTTTGTATATTATAATCTGAAATAGTTTTTTCATTAGATAAACATTGCCCTTGATATATTAATCTTATATCATTTTTATTTACATTTTTTTTCTCAGCTAGTATACTTTTTAATTCTTCCGTATTCATATTTTGTTTTACACATAATTCATATTCTTCATTATTTATACTTTTTATTTTTATTTTTATATTATCTTCTTCCATTTTTTCCTATATTTTGTATATATAATATAATTTAACTTTTAAAAAAAAAATTTTCAATTATATAAAAAACTCTATAAATTAATTTTTTTTTTTTTTTTTACAAGCTTAAATTCAATAAATATATGATATGAATATCACACACTTTTCAATATTTTCAATTCTTTCTGAAAATAAAATAATTAATTTTTTTAATTTAAATGAAATTATATTTAATTTAAAAAAAATAAAATAAAAAAATTAAAATTTTTATTTTAAATTAAATGAATATTATGTTCTTGTTTTTATAAATATTTCCTTTTTTAAAAAAATAGTTTTTTTATTCAATTAAAATCAATGTTTTTTTTTTTTTTTTTTTTTTAAATATGTAAGAAAATAATTTTAATATTATTTTTTATATTTTTAATTAGTACAAAAAGAATATAATAATTTAATATCTTCAAATATATTTTTTTAATTTTTTTTTTGATTTATATATTAATTTTAATAACAAATATTATTATTTATGTATTTTATGCTTTTTTTTTTTTTTTTTTTTAA